GCTTTGTACAGAAGGGTAAGAATTACGGTGTTAAATTTTAAATAACTTGTATAAGGAAAATATTTTTAATTCTGATATGCTCATTAATTATTATATCTATTTGTTGTTTTCAATACATTTCCCCATAAACAGGTTGTTGTTCTAGCAAAGTGGTAAAATGATCATTTATACTTAAAAATTATTTTAATTTCATGTAAGTGATACCTTTTATTTAGGGCTGTATTTTTTAAATACTAAGCACCTGTAGCTCGCCCCGCCCTAAAAGTCAGATTGCTTAACTTGTTAGTTATATTCTTGCTGTTTAGTGATGGTTCAGCATCACTGAACTGAAACAAATAATACAGTTTGCATTGATTTTTAAAAAAGGCTTTGGAGACCTTTTGAGTCAAATGTGTTAGGTAATGGCATAATAGATGCATTCCTTCACCTGCTTACTACATATGTAATACAGACATCCACAAATAATTCAACAGATCATAAGAATGACTAAATTTTTAATATAGAAAATCACATGAAATTTCTAACATCCTGGCTGCAACTCTGTTAATCAAGGATCTGCTTTACTAAAAAGTATAGCCATAAATTACCTGCAACAGTTAATCTCTCTAAAGTTTCCAGGTGGCATGTAATTTCATGAAGAGAGCTGCACAGCTTTGAGAACACAAATTCTGTTAGAGTATCTTTAGACTGTCTTGGTAACAGAAATCAAGCAGTCGGATGCACTAAACCTTGTGTAGTCACTTTTTCACTGCCTTTTCCAGAGGTGTGGTTTTGTGGTGGGCTTTGGGTTTTTTTTTGTGAAAAGCAACAAGGTTGCTCCCCCCTCATTCTCTTCCTCTCCTGAGAAGTGAACACCTCTTCTTCATGCATACCTTGCAAACCCTGCATTTGGAAATGCAGTTACTTTTGAATGAGGAGAGGGAATGGGCATTATACGTCAGAAGCTGTTGAGGAAGGAATGTTCATGTGGCTCACCATTTCAGAAAAATTCTGTGTTTCATTGGGTGCTTGGAAAGATGATGAAAAAAGGACACAGCAAAGATAATTTTAACTAAATTGGAGAAGAGTTTCAGAAGCAGACATTTGAACCATGAATTCTGACCTTTTTTTGCTTGAGAATGAAACTTTAAACATTATTTAACAAAGTCACAAGTGTATTTTAGTGGTACAGAACAACAGCTCTATAATTTTAATTCTGTCTGATTTACTTGCCTTCAAGTGCATTCAGTCTCAGCAGTACGTAGAAAACTCAAAACACGTTGCAAAGAGAGGTTTTTTTGCTGTGATTTTTGTACACCTCTGCTCTCACTGATACAGACTTAAACTGCCTGTAGACTATGTCTAGAGCCATATGGTTAGCCATCTACATACATAAGCTTTATGAAAAGTTAATTGATGTTTCTTCTAATTCATTCTTAAGTAATGGAGTAATTTAGAGTGCATTTTTGGCTTGGGGCTTCAAGGTATTGCAAACTGATTGGTGTTTGCTTTCTTCTGAACAAAGCAGATATTTTATTTTTATTTTTTTACCATTGTTGACACTTCTGTGTACAACTGCAATGAAATGAATTATGTACCAACGGATTCCTTCCCTCGCTTTTTCCATATCTGTTACCAGTAAGTCTTAAGTGTTGGACTTCAGAAAAATACCCATAATGCTGCACAACCAAACTAAATAAAGGAAAAAAAAATCCCTTTAGCTATAGATTCCTGTTTATACTACTGGAACCCAGATTATTTGTACAAGGCTTTGTTTTCATACATCTTAGTGATTTTTTCACCCACACACATATACTAGAAGCTGCATAGCCTTTTTATTTATTTTTAAGGGATAGCAAAACTTTAAAGGTAACAAGCTTAGCCTGTTCTGAAGGATGATAGAAGCTTTCTGAACTTGCACAGTCTCTTGCAAGCTAATTGTACGGTATGCTTTTCAGATAAGAAACTTTGTCTTCAAATACAAATACCTGTGAAGTTTTTGGAAAGCCAGTCAAACATAAACATACCAAACTGTGCTCTTATTGCTACATCAAGTGTTCCTTTTTTTTAAATCAAAAAGCATGTTTAAATTTCATTTTATTGTAGCAGCTTGCTGTAAGAATGTAGTTTGCTTAATTTTATTACTGTACTTGAATTTTTAATAATGGTTTTAACAATGTAACTGAACACAGACCATTTCATTAGGTTCCAAAGAAACCATTCCTTTCAGAGGGCAAGGGATTCCCATGTTAGTAGTTGATAAATGATTTCTCTGCCCCCCAGCCCCCACCTTGGAAATAGCTGTTTGTTTTTGTTTTTTTTTGTTTTTTTTTCCCCCCATTTAAATAGTTCAGTATTATGGAAGCAATTAATGATTTCAAGAGGGCTTATTTTAAAATTTGCACAGATAATGGAGCACCTTTTTATGATGGAAGAAAATGGGAAAGGATAACTTCATAATTATAACCATGATGGCTGATAGAAACTTGTAGAACAGCTGGGCAAAATTCTGAATCTTGTGCCTTTTAAGTTTGCAGAATATTTGGTTTGCCAGTATGACAATACTTCTTTTTGATTCCTGAGAGAGTAAATTTCCTGCAGTGCTTCAATCAGAAAATCAACTTTTTTGCTCTAATTCTGTTGGGTTTTAGTGTGTGCAATCATTTTAAGACATCTAAGTTGAAAACAAATTTTAATATGTTTTCTGTTGAGATAATAGAGAATTTAGTCACATAAGGAATTTTATGTTGGACTATTTAAATAAAATATGTTTTTATTCCCCCTCAGTTGCTGGTTAGTGACAAGATTTCTTTGAGGCTTCATACTCCTTATTACTGCATTGTACTCACAAGTTGCATTTGAACATCATTCAGTTTCCTAAACATGATTTAAAGTAATAATTGTGGTCTGAGTATTTCCAATAATATGATATGTGATTCTGAAGCACAGTTTCTAGAAAAGAACAAATAACTTGTTGTGTCATGTAACAGATTTTTTTTATAAATGTTTTTTCTATTTCTGCTGCACAATTAGGAGTGTTAAAGTAAACTTCATTGAGTCTGTGAAAATAATTTCACTGCTTAACAGCAGTAATTGTGTCACCATGTAACACTATCAGAGTAAAATTTCTTAATTTCATGAAGGAGTTGGAGACCTTGTTAACTAAAGTTAATTTTGATTCAGTCTCTTCAATTTGTAAAAGCTCCTTTAAAAACAATAAAGCCCCCCAAATTTTTTCCCAAAGCAAAAGCTTCCTAATAGAATGCAATAAGATGTCCAGGAAGTGAACAGTGGTTTTAGGATAATGCACACTGGATTGATACTGGGCTGCCTTGCACAGCATCATGGGGTTTAATGTGTGCCAACCCACCCACACACCCCCAACTGAAATTAGAGTTCTTTTCAGATTTTGAGATTAGTGACTATACAAGATGAAGAAACTTTCATATTGTTTTGTATTGGTGTCTGGCATCTTAAGTCTCGTTTTTCCATTGCTGTGATTGGTTGGGAAATGTGTAAAAACCAGTCCATTGGTTTCCCTGTTGTCTACTTTTTTCAGGCAGTTCATGCAGTGTGTCTTTTAATTATTATCTGGTGGATTAGATTGTGGAACAAAAGGAGCTTTTTTTAACAGGAAGAACTACGTTGGGTTAGCTATATGTACAGTCATCCAATGCGACATGTTCCAGAGTGCATAGGGTACCAATAGATTATGGAGTGGGGGAATATCCTTTTTTGCTGTTCTGAGCTACTATTGTCAACTGCTGTTGTACATATACTGTTATGTGTAAGGGGGTAAATATATTTATTATGTTTGTAAAATTCATTCTGTACAATTGCAGATCAAGGTTGCTCCTCTGTGATATACAGGATATTATGTTTCAAAGGCCATGCTTGGAATACAATTAGAGAACTTAGTATTTTGATGTACTAAGACCTATTTTAAGTTTAATATTTTGCCTTTGCAAAAACTTTAATTAAAGATGTTATTTAAAAATGTCTGCTACTTCATTTATTATCTTGCATGTGCATTTGTTTAATACATGAAGTTTAATGACAATTACATAATAACACTGAAGATTGTGAATTTACTTCCATCACACGCAGGTAACTTAATTGTCACCTAGTTAGTGAATTTGCCTTGCTGACTTTCCCTTTGACATCATCACAATGTTATAAAGCAGTTCACATTTTAATCTTAAGGCCAGACTTCCATATTTATTTAAGAATTTACTCCCTGTGGTAACTTGAGACTTAGGTGTTGAGGCAGGATTAAGAACTTGGTGTGCCATCTGGATGTTAGTCCTGTAAATGGAAATGCAGGATAATATCGAGAAATAAAATCCAGTTCTTGGATGATAGCTGGTTGATTATAAAGCTTTCATCTTCATCAGTGAAACTGACTTGACAGAACTGCTTTCTAGTGTAAGCAGGAGACATCTTTTTAGTTCCTGGCTAAAAGCAGTATCTTTAGACGTGACATGCTTTATTTTTAAACCTAAATTTTGAACGTGAAATTCTGTATATCATTAGAAAAAATGTAGGCTGTACTGCATGTATGGAGGGTTGTATTTTGGAATGCGATGATTTTGAAGTAATCTTTTTAACTATAGTGTTATAAAGGTATAGGAAACAAAGAATCCTAAGGAGTGGTATTTTTTTCCTAATTCTTAAGAGGTTTTTTTCCCTAATAGTTTTGTAGCCCTCCAGCCCTTGACACTTCGACAA